CGACGCCAGCTTTCCAATGGTGCCTCAGACGTCTCCCCGGCGCCAATATTGGTAGAGTTACAGCCTGTTATGAAAGCCATGTTTACTCGGGTACAGTGCTGACTTTGACACCAGATTCCTCGGGCGCCGGGGTTGTATTCAATACTGGCTTTTCACAGGTGGATTGAATGTCTATCTAGCAGTAATACCCATGGTATTATCATCTGAAATGAAGGGGGAATAGTGTACTAACTGGTACTCGCACTTGGGGGCTTGAGCTTTTCTTTCGGTCTACTTTATTATAGAACCAATAGCAATGCAAATCATCTTTATTTTGACACTTTTCACAATATACATGATATGTGACTTAGGTCACAAGGTCTGGTCCTAGTATTGTATCCTGAAAATGTAGAAGTGCTCGCTTGCATCCTGAGAATGGCTACTGAACCTGGTTGCATCCAGAGAATTTAAGGTGTGCTTGGTTGCGTTCAGAGAATTTCAAGAGTGCTCGGTTGCATCCCAACTTTGGCACCAAGGATCGTTGCGTCCTGAGTCGCGGTTTGCGTCCTGTACGTCCTGTGCGTCTGACGCACAGGACGCACAGGACGCAAGCTTTTATTTTTGCTGATGTATCCCAGAAATGCGAAGACTGCAAATGGAGACCAGTGGCATTCTGATCCAAAACAATGACTACAGCAGAATGCAACTATGATGTCCACAATAAAGAACTATTAGCAATAGTTCAAGCATTGAAGGAATGTAGAAGATACGTACAGAACAACAACGTGTCAGTCAAAATCCTTACAGACCACAAAAACTTAGTACCTTTCATGACAACGAAGGAACTAAATGGACAACAAATAAGATGGATGGAGAAACTCAGTACTTACAATTTCAAGATCGAATATCATCCAGGAAAAGAAGAAGGAAAACTGAACGCATTGACTCGAAGATCAAATGACAAACCTAACACACTGGCACCAGAAGATGAGAGAATCAAACAAAGACAACAAATACTCTTACCAAAGGAAAAATATTTCTAAACCAAAGACAAAGACAGTGGATATGAATCTCTAAACAAAATCAATATAAGGACGACATTGGAAGAAGATATCAGGAAAGAAAGCTCACACAACAAGGAATGTCAAAGGATAAGACAGGAGCTAGCAACTGGTACGAAGGAAATAAAAGACATAGCCCTAGGACTGTGCCAATGGAAGGATGAATACTTGTAGTATGACGGAAAAATATGGATACCGGATAAAGGAAGATTACGCACGGAAATCATACGACACCATCATGACCTCCCATATACAGGACATGGAGGAACAGCCAAAACTACCGAGTTCATCACCAGACGATACTATTGGCCAAAGATAAGGGAAGATATTAAACAATACATTAAAAACTGCGACACATGTCAACGAACTAAAGTGGTTCGACATGCACCCGATGGACTACTCAAGTCAAATTAAGCACCTGAAAACCTATGGAAATCAATATCACTTGACTTCATCACGGACCTACCAAAGTCAGACGATCAAAACGCTATTCTAGTAGTAGTTGATCACCTAACTAAAATGAGTCACTTCATACCTTGCAGAATGGATATGACGGCAATACCAGTTGCGGAAATATTTCTAAAAGAAATATATCGACTGCACAGAGTACCAAAAGATATCATTGGTGATAGAGGATCACTATTTACGTCAGAGATATGGAAGAAGATAACAGAAAAACTTGGAATCGAATGGCGCATGAGCACAGCATTCCACCTGCAGACAGATGGGCAAACAGAACAGATAAACGGCATATTGGAACAATACCTACGGGCCTATGTCAATTACTAACAAGATGATTGGTGCAAATGGCTACCGATGGCTGAATTTGCCTACAACAACAGAAAACAGGAAACTATCAAGACAACCCCATACTTTGCGAACTATGGCCTACATCTGGAACACGAAAGGATAGGACATATGCTTCAAGGAAAGATAACGGACAGAAAAGACATGAATCAATTACACGACATATTATGAACTGAAATGGTTATGGCACAATTACGACAGAAAGAAAACTACGATTGCCACAGAAAACCCGATCCAAACCTAAAGTCAGGAGATAGGGTTTGGTTACTGCCACGGAACATCAACACCACATGACCAACAAAAAAACTGGATTACAAGAAAATAGGACCATTCAAGATCTTGGCAAAAATAGGAAGCCGCGCTTATAAACTCGACCTTCCACAGTCAATGAAAATATACAACACCTTCCACATCAGCCTCCTCGAACCCTATCAAGACAATCCTCTACCATATCAAGAGAAACCCCCACCACCACCTATCGAAATAGATGGTGAATCAGAATACGAACTCGAAGAAATTGTTGACTCTCAGTTACACTACGGTCACTTGCAGTACAGAGCAAAGTGGACTGGATACTCTCCAGAACACGATAAAACCTGGTACCCAGCCAAGAATTTCGAACACGCACAAAATGCAGTCCACTAATTCCACCAAAGATACCCGGACAAGCCATCAACCCAGCATCGAAAACGCACCAGAATCTGAGCCATCGATGCCGCAACTACACAGAACCGACACCTATCACTGGGAACAGCCCCAGATCAGATACCAGCAATTGCCGATAACGTCGGCCCTACAGCACACCCCGGAGCGCGATGCGTTCAAACACATTACACCAACGAGCCCAGGATATCGGACTCCAACCCCGACCCCAGCTCCGATCAAGGGAGAGCTAAGCAACGAAGACTGGACCAATCTAGTGGACCTCAATCTGAGGAGGACCACCACACCTGAAAGGGAACACTCGAACCTGTCATGGACAGGTTGCTACAACGACGAGTGCCAAGTACACTTTACAGAGAAGGAGGGCTCGGGATATTGGCCTCGGGAGACGAACAGATGGCCACCCAAGACCTCACACCTGGGATCACCAACGAGATCCCTGACCTCAGAGCCAGTGGCTCTGGTACAATACATCCAACCGACTCCGAGGACAGAGTCGAAGAGGAGAGGAGCAAAAAAACAGAAATGGGCAAAACCCAGGAAGGCGCGGCATGTCTCCTGGGAGGAAGAGATGGAGAAAGAAAAACCGGAAACAATGATAATGAAATTATTGGCAGAAGCGGCAAAAACAAAGAAAGTGATGGAATGGCAGGCAGGAAAAATAGGACAAGTCCAGAGTGAGCTGAGGGAGGAAATGAGGATAAGGAAGGCGCTCCAGAACGACTGGAGAAGAGAAGAGAAGGAGGCGGAAAGGGCCCTGACAAGAATCCAGAAAGTAAGCACTTGGTTGAACAAGGAAACCAAGTGGGGACTGGCAGCGGACAGGGGATGGGGATTGGAGGAGAGGTTGATGTAAGCCCGATGGGACTCGGGCTGAGGGAGAGAGGAGCTAATGTCACAAACTGTGACTAAGCAGAGCAGATTTTACATAGCTCGCAATTACGAGCTATAGGTATGTTGGAATTTCACATGACGTACACTTGTACGCTATAGGTTATTATATTTACCTGTTCATGACTCACAGTTGTGAGTCACATGATGTTATGATTTTCACACGTGACTCATACTTATGAGTCATGGGTTTCACTCAGGTGACGCAAGTTGCACACCTGACTTGGTTATTATATTTTGATTGGTTTTAGGCATGTTGCGCAGCGACTCATAGGAGTCGGCTGATGGATTTCGCGTGACTCATAGTTATGAGTCACAAGGTTCGTGTGACGCATAAGTATGAGTCACGCTAGGTGAAGAGCTACTATATAAAGGGTCACTAGAACCCCTAGTATTAGCTCTTCACACATTCTTCTAGTTTATTTCCTACCTTTAAGTTATCATCAATAAAACCTACCTTTACGCTCTTTAAGATTTATCTTAAGAAACCAAAGAATTGTCTTTCCTCCTACAAGAAGAGATTAAGTCCCAAGCAAGGACTGAGGAGAAGAATAAGGAGATAGGCGCAAACAATATAGTAGTCACCAGACTAGACTATTACGATCGCGTAGGCATAGGCCTAAGAGCTATCACCTTACACCCAGAGAAGTATTGTTACCTGTCGCTCGGTCCTACTTGGTAGGATTCTTAACATTTATCCACTCAACAGTATATATCCAATGGCTTTGAACATGCTATTATATCTGGTATTTCAGAAACTAATTATCCCTACCAAGTCATAGTGGAGTAGGTAAATACCAAAACAGGTATTACTAGTAAGAATAAGATTAGTAGATTTCTCCTTGCACAATACTTTTATAAGATCAGAAGAAAGGAATAGGGGTCAAGAAAAATGGAGAACTAAATAAATAACATACCTCAAACAGACTACTACCAAGGAGCAGTGTCATCATAGTACACTCTCTAAAACACTACAAACTGATATGGAGTAAAAGTACTTTATAGATGTAAAGGCTTTGACAGAAGGAAAAAAGAACTGTGAGGAAAAGAGCAAGAGAGATGAATGAAGAGAAGGAGAGAAGGTGGAGGGGTACTCTTCTTAGTATATAGACCTCCCTTGGGGTGACGTGCCTTCTTTATCAAAAAAAAAAACCCCTGAGTTTAATCCTCAGAATACTATGGAAGACAGGAGAATGGTATGGCCCCAGGGCTTAATATCATTACCATTAACATTACAATATTTCGACCAGTGAACCCCCACTTGAAACCTTGAAGCTTATTTATTTATTTATTTCTGTCATGCATCAAGGGGAACTCCAAAATTAGCAGTTGTAAAGTCAGTACCGGTAGTCTCGACCCCGGATGTAGCGCGTTGATAAGCGGGAACTCATGGCAGAGATAAGAACGATTGCGTCCAGGTATGCTAGAAGCAGAGAGGGGAAACTGGGCGAAAGACCGTACACCCTTCCTCAACTACCAGTACCGAATCCTATTGATTCCAATCCCAGAGCAAAAAAAAAAAAAAAAAAACTAAACACGTGCCGACACAATCCCCAGCCCGCACGATATAAAGCCGACGCGATACCATACCACCCACCCATCACCTGCCAAGCACGCAAGTGCTGAGTGATACTTCGTGAAGATAATCTACCACCACCACCACCGCTCTGGACATGGCGTACGGCTAGCAGTGACATTCCCGACCAGTGGGAGTATTGCAGGAACTAGGCGGAAGGGCCATGGCCGTGGACTATAACGGGGGGGCAGGTATCAACGCTCCTACCAAAACATCAATGCCCGGAGCTGCAAGAGCTCCATCACCCGTTGATCGTATGGACGAACAACACAACCAGGGCAGAAGTGGTCACAAATCTTCCAGCGCGTCAACGCTCAGCTGCTTCAGCGATACCGCGGCCTAACAGTACATTCGTTCGGTGAGAAAATAGTTCCCTACAGAGGGATCTAGACATAATCTGTAACTCCCATCACTAACTAGTATATTAATTAGGACAAACGTAATGGATAGAAACCCCGTCGTCTGTCACCAAACATTGAGTGACAACTCATGTCCCGGACCGAACTCCTCATTCAGTCCAGCCCCCCTCCAGTAGTTGCTTGCAGAAGCCACCAACCAGTCTACCGGTATGTAGCCCGGTCCCAAATTTTCAACGACCTCTCGCTTATCACCCGGCGATCTGAAACAGCTGTAGGTCAAGCCTGGAATAACTTTAATCACAGCCCGCATTGGACATTAGGCGGACTGCCGTACGTAACTTCCGGGACCCACGCCCAACTACAAAGATGTCCACTTTCATGTTGACGACCAGACCGGGACCTAGCATTAAAACCCACTGCAAAAAATATATATCCAACCTCTATCCCACCACTAAAGTAAAAACCCCGGTACGAGAGCTAAGCCAATCAGAAAAAAAGAAAAAAAGAGGAAAAAATATATAAAATCAATAGCTACGCACAGGTGGAAAGGGAAGAGGAAGGAAAGGGAAAAAGGGAAAAAAAGCGAAAAACGACAATCACCGCAGCAAGTACTGCCGTTGCCAGTGAAAACCCACACAAAACGCGGTAAGGAAAGGGAGCAAGGAATGAATAGCAAAACAAAGAATAGAGGCATTCCACTGCACAAAAACACTCCACCGAAAACCAACCCCCCAGACGCCGCCTTCAAACCGCACTGTAGCCACCCCGTCCACCGCCCCTACCCTGCAACGTCCCTAAAACCCTCCGAGCCCAGTCCTTCAGTAGATATGGTAAGTCCCGAATGGTATCGCTATGAGGAAGAAGGTCCCAGCTGTTGCCCGAAGAATAATTAGTCGATTGCCTTTTGAAGTTAAAACGTTTGCTTTTTCCGTCTGGATTGGGGTGATAGGAGGAATGGGGAGAAACGACGGGGAGTTGATGAGGAGGGAAGAGTAGGAAAGTACCCTCTTGCGCCATAGCGGTTGTGGTTTAGCCAGGAGCCGAAAATCAAATATGCTGCAACGCCTAGGAATAAGCTAAAAATTTAGGGCGTAAATGTTAGCACCAGCTTAAAGAAATTGAGAGAAGGTGCATTACATAATGATAAACCAGGTAAAGAATCCCCAGTGATGTCCTTGGTCCGTGTCCGGATCCTTTTCAAGATTCTCACAGGCATGCTTTGTCTTCCATTCCAATCTCAACACGTCCCTTTCGGCATTGGTGGTATCGTAGCCGATGAACTTCAAACTCTTCTCCTCCGCATTTTCACTCTCTTTGGGATCCTTCTCCTTCTCCTCCTCCTCCCTCTTCTCCTTCTCTTTACCCTCCCCCTCCTTCCCCTCCTTCTTCAACCCTTCCAGACCAGTCTTCTCCGGATCACAGATGAACTCAACTACCGCTTGCTGAGGCTTCTTCTCATATAGCCCACCATTAAGCACAACTCTGAGCCCTTCTTTCCCTGAATCCGCATGCGACTCTGAAGCCTTCAGCCGCGTGACCTTCTCATCCACATGTCGACCATCGATATCTCCCGCGACCGGAATAATCTTGTGGATCCTTGTCCCAGCGTCGTCCGTTATACGCTCGATACCACAAACTATCGTTATCCCACCACCGCGTAAGTCAAGTCGGACAACAAATCCATCCCCAGATCAAGTAAAACAAACCTTGAGTGCCATGTGGACACTGTTCCTTCGGATGATCCTCCTTATTCTTCTGTATAGGTCCGCACGGGTTGATCGTCCAGGTAGTATTCGTCACCTATCACGCGAAAAAAAAAATCAGTCCCCACCCCTCCTATTACCATCACGAAAAGTAATGCGGAAACTCACCGTAGGATACGACTCCTCTCCTGTAGTCACAGAATATGGGCCTTGGAGATCCTTTAGATTCCACTTGATGCCATCCGCAACCGCCTCGCAACTAAAACTCGCCAGCGCGACCGACGACAAAGCGGCGATTACACAGCACTGATATAGCCGCATGATGATGATGCAGATGGTGATGATGATGTGATAGACCTAGCAACCGTTGCCTCGTTAACACCGGAAAGGGAGAAAGCCCGGAGCGAGACGTTATTCGTCGATCGATAAACACCTGTCACAAAGGGCGAAGAGATAAAAAGGAGAACTGGATAGCAAAGTGCCGTAGAGGGAGCGAGGTCAGGCTCTTGAAGGAAAGATGGAAAGGTGGGCTTCGGACCGGTTATTCACTCGTTGAGCGGGATTATGTTTCCCCACTGACGAAGGACGTGTTAGTCACCATAAAATTCCTTATCCGGAAGGATTGATACGGGGGGTTTCTGGGCTGGGCCGGGTAACCACCTGCCAAAAGTGCCCGAATTACATGTATCATACCCGGGCACAGTACTCGAGCAACATAGGAGGCTTGAGGGTGAACGATCGGGGTAGGTTACAGATGAGGCGTCCCCAATCCCCGGGACGGGTCTTTTTTTCGTGGTTGCATTTAACCCCCAATTCCGGAGATTGGTGACCTGGTTTTCCAGCATAGGGGCTTCCTATCGGCTCCCACTTCACTTCACAGGCTTCAACCGTTGAGATTCTGTACGAGTACGATATACTAGGATAATATAATAACAATACAGTATCACGCCGGTATTACACCGGTAGGCCCGATCGCGTAGCTATTGCATACAGCTCATTCAATCTAAAAGAAAAAAACTACAACCGATCCCGAGCTATGAACCCTATCACCCCCACTTGTCTAGACATTCATCTTAAACTGCTTCAGGTATTCATAGTCCTTCAAGTTCTCATCGGCAGCTTTCTTTATGATCCCAGCCCCCTCCTCCCCATACTTCTCAACCCAGCCTACATATTCCTCCTCAACTGTTTTAACGACTTTCTGCGAATAGTTAGCCATGACCCACACATCAAGCACTGCAAGCTTACCCCCTCCCTAGGCTTCAACCCCTTGCTCCGAATAGCATCCTCGTGGAATCCTTTCCACTTATCAAACCCACCACAACTTCCTTCTTCCCACATAAGCATGCTCTCATCGAACTCCAGCCCCACGCTTTCACAATATTTCTGCACAACTTCATTAGGGTGATCGAGGAGGTCATCCGCATCGATGAGGCACAACTCTGCGCCATCTTTGCCCCCGACCAGGCCCTTCGCACAGAGGTAATCGAAGAGAACTCGCAATTCGTGGTATCCGGCTTCCGAAGGAAGGAAGTAGCTGAAGCCGGTCTTCTCGGAAAGCGGCGGAATGGTGCAGCGGTAGAAAGACGGGATTGCCCGTCGGGGATGGCGGATCAGGAAGGTGAAATGGTAGTTCTTCAAGATTGAAAGAGGGATAACGGATGGATTGTCGTCATCTTCCGGAGAGAGATCCCCGTTCTCGTCGGTACTCCCATTGGAAGCCTCATTAGAACCCCCACTGGTACCGTATCCCTTCCTCTTGTGGATTCCCAACCGGAGGGAGGGGGCGATTCCCCGAGCCCCAGTAGATGTATCGTGAGGAACGATATAGTAGGCCATATCCTTCAAGAAGACCCTTTTCCCCTAGACTTAATTAGTATAACATCCCATCGTCGCATGCTTTCCGCCCGGGGAGACACAAACATCTTCCTTCCCACCTTCAATCTGTCCAACAACGTCTCGGTAAGCAGTTTCAGAAAAACCGCTCCCTTCTCTAGCACCCTGGTGTTCCTCTCCCAAGAACCTCTCCCCAATCCTCTCTCCACCATAATAGAAAGCATCGCCAAACGGCTCATGCTCACACCTCAAGTCCTCCCGAGTCATCATAACCCTTTCGAAAGCCGTCGAGCACGACCTCGGATGGGTTGCAAGGAAAATTGGCTTGGTAGACATCTAGTGTTCTGTTAACTGCTCTTCTGTGCACCTTGTGCTTCCAGCTTTGCATCCTCTCCCTTTATTTAAAGAGCCCAGCGGGTCTCCCTACTCGCCATTCTATCATCCTCAGATAAGTCCTCGAGCGATTTAGAAACTAAAAATAAGAAAATGCAAGTTGGACAAGTTAGTATTTCCCACTTCCCCGGGCAAGCTCAACTAGAGCTTTGGGAACAAATACGGAAGACGTAAGCGATGCCACTAAGCAAATCTGACACACTGCATCATTTCCGACTACCGGTACCGTACTGAGGACGTTCCCCCGATGCAACACAAATTGAATACTCCCATCCAACTTGTTATAACGGGCCCGGAAATAAAATTGAAAATAATAAAAATTGAAAATGAAAATGAAAAATGATAGAGAGCAGACCCCTCACCAAGCTCACTAATCCCGGAGCCTGATCGAGTCGTTTATGAATCTCTGAACAAGAGTCCGGCAGTGTTCGACAAAGCCCTGTGCAAAATTACCATGGCTTGGACAAACCAAAGGAGACCGGCAAGAAGATCAGATCTCCAATTCTGGCAGTTATCCATGACACGAGTCAGTCCTCATATTACAGCACCACCAACCCCCTAAAACGGATAACGGAAGGGAAAGAATCGAAGCTGAACAACCTGACCCAAACGACCACCACCCCCCCATTCCCATCCCGCAACCCACCCTCATAAGTTTAACGCTCCATAGCCATAATACGACCGAAGAAACAAAAGCAAACCCCCCCCAATACCACTCGTACACCACGCCCCTCGCAAATCCCATTCCCACCCATCCCGCACCCGTCCAAAACGCGCAGTCCCACCAGAAGTCGGAAATGTTCTTCCCCGTACAGTAACGTCGGCGGAAGAGCTCCAGCCGAGGCGAAGGTGGCGGTGCGGCTAGCGCACCGGTACACCACGTATCGCATGGATCCACATCCGGAATAACGGAAAATATGAGTAAACCCTTCGTACGAGCGGAATATCATCAATCGACGCGAACCGAGCAGAAAATCGGTAATGACCGGGGCTGCAGCTTTTTTTTTTCGCACACCTTACGGTAGTCTAAATCTCAACGCGCGACGGGGATCCGAGTGATGCATGGTGACCAGTGGCGTCGTGTCTGTTTGTCATCACGCCAAGACTGACAGTCGCCTGAGACCTGCCCTTTCTTTCTTTCTTTCCTTCTTACTCAGGGGGAAATTGAGGGCCCCGCGGGTGACGTATGATACCAGTAAGATAGCCAGCTTCTAGTACGAGAAGGCTGAGAAAACGAGGATTCTATCCAGGTTGTTCTTGTTGATGTGAGAACTCCCCTTAGTCTGGGGAGCGGGCGGGAGGAGGGCTTTCCGTTCGCTTTCAACCTTTGCTCAACTGCCCGGTGGCGCCAGAACTCGGCTTTGAGATTGAGATTCGGTGCGGAGTGAGATGGTTCATCGCTTCGCGGGGTCATGACGATGGGGATTTTCACAGCATATAAGTTGGCGGTCATGGTGTCTTTTCCCAGTGAGATAAACAGGTTCGAGTATGATACGGTATATGGGTTCTACATAGACTGGGCCCCGGAGCCATGCCCGTTAAGATGGCATTTGGATGGCGTGCAAGGCACTCGTAAGGGCGCCATTCATCAACATCTGTCGAGGCAGCTCGGTTACGTAAGCGCAGCGACAGGGGTAGGTTATTTGTCAGCGAGTCTTGAGCCTCGAAAGGGGCGGTCACGTGCCTTGCAGATGTATGGACACTTTCTATATCGACTGGAAATCGTCTATTTACAGGCGCGTACATCATGCCAGGAGTATTCTATCATGGGGAATTGTAGGTACCGAGAGGGCCTTATCTCTTGCTCAGGCTGCGAGCGTGCAGCCTGGGAAATGCCTCCCCAACCTTATTGACGGCTATGCCGGTGCACTGCGGGGGGTGGAGGTGTTAGGTAGTAGTAGTACAAGTTTCTTGTATCGTGCGAAAGCACGTGCCGGCCGGGGGCCAAACACCGCAGAGCAGCCTGAGGGCCAGCAGGTTGCGAGGATGAGGATGAGCGGTGCCCCATAATAACTTGCTTGGACCTGCAAGATTCTTCAGAGCGGAGCAAAGAGCCAACACTGATATCGTACGGTACCGGCACAGTACAGTACTGTACAGTGCTCATATGAACTCCTCCCATCCTCCTCCTCCTCCGCTTCAGGGCCAAGTTGGTTGGGCACAGCGAGGCCCATGTGGTGGACTGTAGCACATCCGCTTACATGCCGGTATCATATCTTGCTCTGGGCTGGAGCTGGAGTATTTCGGGAACAACCGGGTGGGTGGGTCGTCTGCTTCGCATCTACCGGGTGAGGTTGGAAACACCGGGGTTCAATCTTCCCCACAGCTGGGACCTAAACTGCCGGACCCCTCCTTTGGTCGTCGACCAGCAGACGCAGGCTGCGCGCATGTAAAGGGTCCTATCATACCGGCACTCGAGTATTGATGTAACAGGGGCATTGCGCGACCATGCCGGAATTGATGATTTGCATGGCCCCGCGTGCACTTCGCATCTCTGGTCCATATGGTGCCTCGTCAATAGAGCTCTTGATAGTCTGACACTTGAGTATGGCACCACAAGTCTGCAGCCGACCCAATTAAGGTGGAAACGACAAACTAAAGTACATGTATGATATAGCCTTGGGCAAGCGCTGCGTATCGTGCAGAGGTTTACCTCGCCCCCCCAAGAGCCATCAGCCAAGCAGCTCCCAGCTGCCTCTTGATATCCTCCTTATCCACATCATGTGTATCTTCGACTTCTCCCCAGATCTTTGTTTGATACCTAACCTCAACGCTCGCAGCTCTAGCAGCCTCCTCAATCCCCCAACTCTTCCCCCCAACCCCAACGTCGGAACTCCACTCCGCCACCAACCTCGCGCCAATCAGGAGACTCTTGCTCGACAGTGTCGCCATCTCCAGCGCAACCAGATCCCAATCCGTCAATCCCTCCAGCCATCCCATTATAACCTTCTCCGTATCAGACGGTTGCTGTGCCGTAGCCGTGATGCCGAAATCTCCGTTGTTGTACTCGATTACCGTGCGGGGCCAGAGGACAGTTGTTAGCCACTCAACAACAGGCTTAGCTTCCGCCACCTGAAGTTCCCGGAGAGTCTTCTTGTTTGGGTGGCGGTGTTCCTTGGGTGTTGTAGGAGCGCAAAAGATTAATGTGTCGGTGTTGAGGTAACCCATCGCGCTCTTGATAGTGGCATCCCGGGAAGGAGTAAAAGTGTTCGGTTCGTGCATGTCAATTACTCGTGCGGCGAGCTGGGTGAGTGGTGTTCGATAACGTTTCGTAAGAGCGTCCTGTGCGCTGTTTAGAAGACTCCATTCTAGAGCGACTGCATCGGCAAGCAACGGCTTGTTCTTGGGAACGACAATCGCCTTCTTGAGTGGCGTTCGGATGGGTAGCTTGTCGAGGAGTATCGCCAGTCCACCTTTAACATATCAGTCTTGGTGACCCAGGAAATCAAGGGAAGATTGGGAAACTACTATCCCGCTTCTCAACCCTGACTTCCTTCCAGAGCTTCTTCCCTGGATTAGCCCTCTCGGCTTTCTGTCTCCTCCGTAGTTCGCATATCTCGCTTGCTGCCGGGACCGGCGGTTTCGGTGGCGGGCCGTGAGCCGTGATTGGGAGTGGGGTTGCTGAATCCGCGGGCGAATTATGCAAAGATCTGGTGACAGGTAATGGTAGTAATTTTCGGCACGGGGGAAATGGTGATGGGCGAGCCCTGACAGCCAGGCGTAGCGCGAGAGACATCTCGATGGCGGTTGTGGTGTGGGAGGAAATGATGAAATTGAGAACTGCCGGTGCTCTGATTTGTCAAGGAACAATTGTGAGTGAGTGCGATAGCAGCACGGTACGAGCACTCAGCGTAAGTGCTGTCCTGGAACTGAGTATGATACGTGCATGCCAAGATTGATTAATTATCGATAAGTTGATCTTGGCGTTGTTTCAAAAATTTTCACGGTTACTAATCTCAAATAGGTGAGTATCATAGCTATTCTGTCCATGAGATAACCGGTACTTTTATCACCCTATCACCGCTATATCATACGATCCTGAGCCCGCGTCAACAAGATTGGAGGCGTTCAAAATTGGCCCTCCCCGAGGTAAATTGAGAACACTCGTAGATATTGCGAACCCTCTCAGAGCCCATCATTGAGTTAAAGCTTGGTGAGATTCTTGTTGAGGCGGTGTTGTTGCCACCCCTGCCTGTCCCCCACTCAAGCGGAGTTTATGATAACTCACCTTTGGTGCAGAATGGGGGAGCCAAAGGTTGACCACCAACGACACCTCGACTCCTGACTGCGGCCAAGTAATCAAAGCACTACGATTCTCTGAACCTTGATGGCAAAATACCGCAGCGCCAAATAAATGATCATATTGTGGAGAATATGTTCAATAAGCCTCACTTCCCTGAATGCTAGGTATTATAATAAATGTTTCCTGCTTATTTTCTCTAATTTCTATTATTATTATTATTTGGGGGGGGGGGAAGCGGGGGGTGGTCTGAATTGAAAAGTTTGCGGCACATTGGAGTGCAAACTATATCTTTCAGTGAAGATAGTAAATTGATAGCAAACAACTATAGGATTCTGAAAAAAAAAAAGAGAGGGAGAGAGGGATTCCATTGAATAATAGATACTTCTATCTAAAGCTTCAAGGAATATAGAAGAATTGAAGTTTATCTAAAGTCGGGAGGGGTTCGAGACCCACCTTAGCTGGCACTGATAAAATAATTCGTAGGGGAAAGTTGTACCTTGCCTGAAAAGGCAAAGCCCCCTTGTGACTAGGCATTGAGAAAGAAACGTTGATCCACCTTTTAGTTCAAAACAGACCTTGTCATAGCACAACTTGCTCGATTTTTTTGTTCCGCGCGAACAACACACATGCCTTACCGTACTCCCCCCATACCAAATCATGGACGAAAGCTCATGGAGACCCACTCATGGAATAACTAAAAAAAGAAAAGAGACCGGAAACAAGTGCGGGAGAAAAGGGTGGCCTTTTTTTTTAAAAAAAAAAACCCCCCCCTATCATGGTATTACAAAGCTTGGCTTTTTGTTGGGATCGCTTTTTTGACTGCACATGACCACTATGCCGATACCGTGAAATATCAATGTTTCTCTCTCTCTCTTTTTCTTTTTCTTTTCTTTTTTCTTTCCCTTTGGCTCATGTGAGGGCGTGGCCTACCGGAAACGTGGTGGGCACAGACGCCTCGAGGGCTCAGCGGGGGACTCGGGAGAGGGGGAAAACATTGATGTGCACCAGAAGTCTAGATACAAAGGCGGTTTGTCAACTGTGTCCATAGCATAACGCATCGGGCTCAGTACAGTACCGTATTTTACAAAACCTGCCGGACAATTATACCCACGCGATGGGTTCCTTTCCGCCTGGCGAGCAGGCAGGTCCACCTTTGCGGATCGAGGGAAAAATGGTTTACACGGTGGCACAACACTCGCTCTCGGGGTCCAGCAGCCCCCTCCCCACAGACGGCTGAGAGCATGACAGCCTGGCCATCCATCAATTGGTGCCCAAGTAGAGAATCTACCATAGGAGGGGGTAGATAGGTGGGGGTAAGGAGTATAAGCCAACAGGTGTGCAAGTTTTCCTGGGAAAGCGGTTGTCTGGGTGGGAGTGCCAGACGGGCGGAGGTTGCAGCTCGGTTGGCCGCGTGAAACACGAGCGGTCTTCGGATGTTTGCATGGATTGGAAAAGGTAAAGAGAACCCCCATCCTCGGGTATGCAGTAAGTCAGGGTAGGAGTCGACATCAAGCCCATCGCTGGGAGGCGGTCTGATGCGAATACCATAACACCCGCAGTCATTGATGATTTAACCCCTCACCACATAAACAGGCATGAAGGCATGAATTCTGAACCCTTTGGGGCTGAAGGCGTGGGGGACATTTAAGACACGGATGAAGAACCAATACGGTACGGTACAGTACCGGTACTACGGTATGCAGTAGTCTGTAATACTTGTGGTATCACACTTCCCCAGACAAGAAGTACGAGTACCGTACGGTACAGTACTTGTGCCCACCCTACGGTTCCAGGCAGTGAGTATTGTACCGCATCATAAATTTAGTACTCGGAAAGAGGTGCTCGCGAGACATATGACAATGATCCCTGCGTGACTGAGCCCCCATACCGGCACAGTATCATACAAATTCATGACCCCTGTTTCCGGGTACTTATTGCCTGGGACAGGCAGGTACGGCACAGTACCGGTGCTGTAGAGTACTCGTACAGTGCAGGATGATCCATCATCGATCCCGATACTTGGGCTGGCACGGTGCCGGTATTCGTTACATAACATGTGCCGCATTGATTGCCTTTTATGGCGCTACCGGTACTGTAAGAGTACTGTACGATACCACATTACGCCCATGCGCGAAGCCACTCTTGTGCTGTGGAACGAGGACAACAACCCTTTGAGGACCCTGGAGGAAAGAGAGTCTCTGATACCAACGGGGTGCAGCGTGGTTTCAGATTAGGTTTGCGCCCAACTCAACGCCAATTGGCGGGCTCTCCTCGGGCCTTAGGGACCACTGGAATGACTTGCTTTACTTGACCCCTTCCTCGAGTGAGCTGAGTGGGGGAGGGGAGGGGCGGGGGAGAGAGGATTGGGTAGGATACTGTACTAGTACAGCAGGTGTGGTACTGGATGCATGTCATTGTAGGCTTTTCAGACACTGATCAGAACTGTCAAGAGGCTGCCCTTAATGGGGTTTAGACGAAGGGCTCCCCGGCTTTGTCCGCCGGAGCCCCAGCGGCAGATGGCTAAGGGCGCGATAGGTAGAAATAGTCCGATGTCTCCCCGGATTTTCCATCTGTTCCCTCCGACTCAAAGCTGCTTCAATTTGTCCGCACTGCACTCGACGTCTGCTACCCATCATCTTCTGCTCCCCTCGCAACTTGGCACATACCGGTGAACACCCAATCCTTACTTCATCCCCTTCTTTCCGCCCCTTACCGGCGATAGAGGCTCCCACTGGAGTTCTGCAACGTGCGTCAACCCGAATATCTCACCGCCTTCCTTGGGGCCTTCCATCCCACCGTCTCCATTCTCAGGGCGTCTTCTACAGTCTGGTCTAATCTTTTGTTTTTGTTTTTAGATAGAGATTCTTTGCTCTCTCCCGAGTTTCCTACAGTTTTTGATAGAAACCTGGGGAGAAAAAAAGGTTCCGGAAAATAATAATAATAATCGCACCCTGGTTCGGTGTTCCTCGCTCGCCACCGGGAGCAGGCTTAGGTCTAGCACGGAAGTATTAATTTCTTCTGATTTCCGATTATGAATTGCCCGACTCGAGATCCGGAACCGACTGGTATGAGTGCCCTATCACTTCGGTTCTCCTTAACGACAGCCATACCAAGGCCTGGTGATGGATGAAAGCACCGTGTACACCGTGTTAACGTCAACTTCTTCATCTAGGGAATCCACTCTTCAACCAGAATCCTCCGGAACTCGACAAAACTCTAACCACCCGCTCTTCCCTCGTATGTGGTGGCGGTAGTCTTAGCGATGATGAATATAACTTGGGTTTGCATATTATGGCATTGTTTCTCGTCCTGGCTCAATCCTCGTTTGGTACTTGAGCAGTCCCCTTTGACCACCCCGAGCCCCATGAGGCTGACAGGTCTTTGCAGCATGTGCATTTCCACTGATCGCGAAAAAATTCCCCCGCCTCCGCATCCCCCCATCCTTCCTCTTCGGCGCTCGTCACTTTGGCACGGGAGTCCTGATTGCAACTGCCTTCGTCCACCTTCTCCCCACCGCCTTCATCTCTCTCACCGATCCATGCCTTCCCGGGTTTTGGAATGATAAATATCCTGCCATGGCAGGAGCGATCGCTATGATGGCTGTATTCTTTGTTACTATCGTTGAAATGGTATTCACCAGGGGGCTCTGCAAGGGGAACTGTTCGGACACGGACAAGCGAGATGCGAGGCTCGAGGCTGGCAACACCTGCTGCGATTCTCAGGATGCCAATGAGGAATATGGAGGAACGGATGGGGCGGGTCGAAAGCGGTCTGACGGGGGAAGATTGGGGGGCGAGGGGATGGGTGGGAAAGGCGGGCTTGGTGGGATGGGGTTTGGGATGGCTGGGAAACGGAGGTCTCGGTCCCACTCGTTCGGTCAACGATTACAAAAGTATGAGGAAATGGAGGAGAAAGGGAGGCAAAAAGAGGTATCCCCGACTGCTAAAAATAATGACAGTAGTCTCACTGTCGTTGGAACTCCCGGCGCTGGCGATGCGATCTTGGAGATGACCAACACCTACGAGAGCCAAGAGGAGAGCGTGATTGAATATGAGAGCCCGGGTCGTGTTGCTGTGGATGCGTTCAAGACATTGCCCGGGGCCACTCAACTGACCCCGGAGCAAGTTCACAAGAAGGCCCTACTTCAGTGCGTATTGTTGGAAATGGGAATTCTCTTCCACAGCGTATTCATTGGAATGGCATTGAGTGTTACTGGCGGGCCTGGCTTTGTTATCCTTCTGATTGCCATTATCTTTCATCGTATGTTTGTTCCGTTGCATTCTTGTTGACGGCAATCTGATTGGCAAACAGAAACCTTTGAAGGATTGGCCCTCGGCTCTCGTATTGCGGTTCTTAACTGGAAAAGCGGTGCGCTCCAGCCCTGGCTTATGGCAGTTGCATATGGCTTGACGTAAGTTCCCCTGCTTTCTTGCCTACACTGTGCTCTGACTTATGCACGGGTAGTACGCCTGCTGGCCAGGCCATCGGTCTCGCAACTCATACCCTATACTCCCCATCAAGCCAAACAGGCCTTTTAATGGTTGGAATAATGAATGCAATTTCATCTGGTCTGCTCGTATTCGCCGGCCTTGTGGAACTCCTCGCAGAGGACTTTCTTAGTGACGAAAGCTGGCGAGTATTAACAGGGAGAAAACGAATTATAGCATGCATATATGTTATGGCTGGGGCATTCGGAATGGCGTTTGTGGGAGCTTTTGCTTGAGCAAACCTTTTCCTTTCCCCCCCCTTTTTTTTCCAGGGAATTTTTGTCTTGTATGTCGTATGATGCTGGCCAACGGTGATTGATTGGTTTGACTGGTTCGAGTTAAACCTTTACGCCACCCTGATAATTACGATGAACATTCAGCGCGGTATTCGGATTGCATGAAAATAAAAGAGATTTTTCGTGGTACAAGATGTAAAGTAGGATAATGCAAGGGAAATGTTTTGGTGCACCCGCGTGAGAATTTGGTTTACTGGAGGAGTACTGTACTCGTATTCCGTTGACTATCGCTCTCTTCATCGCATACCCTTCAACATATACAAGCCGGCCAACCATCCGCCCATCCCTTACCTTGAGGAGACTGCTGACCCTGCCCCTCTGTCCGTCTGTCTCTCTACCCCTCATGTGGCACCCCATCTAGCCTTCCTGTGGGCATGGTGGGGTGGGTGCTGGGGTGTGGCGGAATTCCGTCGAGTGATTATCGCTTGTCTCCGTGCTGTCGTAGCCAAACGGAGCTACTCGAGCGGAGAGAACGAGAGGAGTAGGGGTCAATTTGATCTCCGTCCCATCCACGGGATGGGGAAGGGGAAGTGTGGATAGGGGGGTGGGAAGGAGTGACGCCAGGTCAGGCGCAACCCCTGTTGATCATAGTGACTCACTCGATATCTATTGTATCAAATTTGGACCGGCGCGGATAGGGAAGAAGTCCCAGGTTACGGGTTTAGTGCTATGTTGGGAATGTGACTGGCCGGCCCGGAGACGGCTGCAGGATGGCGTAAGGGGGAGGGAAGGGATGAAGGGAGGGAGTGAGTGAGTAAGTGATCGGATAGGCGTGCATGCGCGGGGGAGGAAGGGGTGGTGTCTGCTGTGGATTAGTGGGTGGATGGTCCATGCTTTGTACATTTCATTCTTTGAGTGGGCTTTTATTTTTCTGGGGGTGGCGGGGGGGAGACCAGAGTGCCTGACCTGCTAGTACTATACCACGGCGTAAGCCACTTCCTTAACTCTCGTCTACTTGCTAATTGCACCGTCCCGCTAGGGACCCCCAGAAGTGCCGGTATCACACTGCCACTCAGTAAAAGTCCGCTAGGAGGTTTACTGTGGGCGAGTGACCGGGGGTGTTCGGTCTGTGTGTGCCTGTAGCAGCAGTGCAAAAAGCAAGTTTTCTCCCTCCCTCCCTTGCCTTCACGAACATGCACGCGTGAGAAACTGCAGCAGAGTAGGATTGGTGCGGGTGACGTATCACCCCGGAAACGTGGGAGGATCGCCTTATGATGGGTAGTGCTAGCCGTCTCCTATTCGGCAGGGAACTACGGGAGAATATACCGGCAGGGAACTTGGACGACGCGAGGCGATTCTCTCTTACTGTATTCGGTACGATGCGGTGTGGGGCGGTACTGGAATGCACGGCTGTCCGGTACTGTGAGGCGAAACCTACCTTCTCGCTCCTTGCTGGGGGGGGGGGGGTTTCTTACGACGGGGTGCACTGCTGTATGATGCCATGGAGATCTTGTATGAGGGGTTTGAATTTAGTTTTTTTTTTTTTTTTTGGGGGGGGGTAAGAGGTTGGGTACTGTTGGGGTTACAGGTGGCGGAGCGGTACGGACGAGCAAGTAGTGATGGCGGTAGAATTGGTCACGATTTGACTACATTGGTCTGCATAGGTGGAAGAGTCGTATTTTTTAGTGCCTGTAAGTGATTGTGGGTAACTACTGCTGTCTACCCTCGGTGGGTGTCGGTTGGCTACATCAAAGAAGGAATGGTAGGACACCTCGAATGGTTCTAGGTAAGTTTCTTTTTTTTCTTTTCTTTTTGGCGGTGTATCTAGTGTATTGGGTATTATGGGGGTTCGAGTGTGACCTGGGAAGATGGTATAGTAGTGTTGTTTGGCGGAGTGGTTCTCTGTGGTATGATAACTGGTCGTTATTTTGGTAGGCTTTTCAGGCTTGGGAATGGGTTACGGTATTGCTGAAAGGTAGAATCTGTATGAGTCTTCAAGCAGCGTTGAGTGTTGGTCTTTGGTGAGCGGATGTGCACCGGTATAGAAGGAAAGCATAGACGGCAGGGTAGATCATTTAATTGTATTCCAAAAACTATCAGATCATCACTGCATAAAATCTACACTGGAATAATAAAACTCCTTAATATGTCCTATGATACAGATAAACAACCGGTATCCGTAGCCCAAGTCTATCATACCCCACCAAGGATCCAATTAATTATACGATGCCTAGTAGACCATCACGAATCGCCACACCCCGCTACCTTCACCACCATAACCTCTCCCTCCCTCTCGGATAAGCCCTGTCAGGCGCATGTCTGACCACATATGATAATATATCGGCATCCAACCCTGGGATGGAGGAAGTGGGCTTTTGAGTGCCCGGGTTCGAGATGTTTTGGATGCAAAAAAGCAACCCTCGTATGATACACACTCACTCAGGTCTTTCAACCAGAAGACCTGCCTGAAGTTTTTCTCTTTTCAATCCTGGGCCTGTGTGCATTTCACAACCAACACCTGTAGAGCCCAAGGTTGGAGACGTTACCCAGGCCCGTAAACAGGCACTCCTGGTATGATATCATGGACACCTTCATGACAGGAATAGAGTACCGCCCTGTGCATATGAGTCCCGAGTGGCTCAGAGGGGGCGTCATCACAGAACTATAAGGGTGCTGTTATGCGAAAAATGTACCAATCTCTCAACGCAACAAATATACTTCACTTCATATGCAACTTCTTGAGCATGTAGAGTACCCTCTGATAGTCTTAAAAAATATTTATCAAAGAAATTGAGCCCAGAGTAGAGCTTTAAAGTGAATATTTCGAAAAATCTGTTTTTTTTTTTATTACATAGAAAAATACAGAAGATAAGGATCTGTCAGGAAAATATTTCTGGCTTTGTTTTAGGAGGAGAATTCATTGTTATAGTATGTTTTGTAATTTTTATTTTTATTTCTTGATTGCAACTACAATGATAAATCTGTAGTATAAATAATAAGTGCAACAGGAGATATCAAACAATCTGATTATCCAATCTTTTTCGTAAGAATCTGATGTTATCATAGTGAAGTAGAACTTCTCAATTAGAGCTTGAATTAAAGTGTATTCTTTTCTTTAAGCTCAATTAGTATAAGAAATATCACTATATTCATCCTAAACTCATGAAACACAATTCTCTTCCCAAAGTGGATTCTTCTTTTAGTACTAGTTATATTGCTGATATGAATAACAGTGATCATGAATTCCTTTGGGAGTCTGAAGAGCTAGAGACTGATACAGAGTCAGAATTTGCGAAAACAGATTTTAGTTTACACTCAAGTAAGATAAAAAATCTTCTTATTAGTTGTAAAGTAAATTTGATATATTAATAGACAAGTTGTATAGATTCAGATGATTTTCATGAACGTATTAGACAATTTCTAAAGTCATGTTCTTGCTCCCAAAGCTGTACTTTAAAAGCTAGTACTGAGGAGTGGAAACAATGGCTTAGATTTCATGATACAGTTGACAGGAAGAAGAAAAAGCTGATGATAATATACCTTTTATCTTCTCAATTACTAGTAAGTAGTGATATTCTGTAAATACAATATAAAGTATAAAGGTAAGATTTGTAGCCAAAGGAGTTGGAACAAAAAAAGATGAAGTACTGCTTGCCATTTGTTGGCAATGTTTGTCGGGAGCTCTTTTGTGAGTTCTGGAATATGGATAGAAGAACAATTACAGCAATCTTGAATCATATTCGTACTCTTCGTATGCCAGTACTAAAAGCCCATGGTAATCATGGGAAAAGGTCACACAATTATGTGGCAGAGACTATAGTACTGGGTTTAGAAGAATATCTAAGGAGAATTAAGACAGATGAAGGTGAGTCTATTGCAACCCGTGTATTTAAGAGATATTTGAAAAATGGTAAGATTGTAAAGTATATGGAGGTAGAACATACCACATTACTCCCCTCACATCTGTCATATCAAGTACTGTATGATCAGTATGTTAAAGAGATTAGGCATCAAAATCTGCAGCAGATTCCTTCATATGAGTACTTTTACAAGTATTAGAAAACCCATGAGGCTTTCCGCTTTATGAAGATCCGCAAGCCCTCTAAAAATACCTGTGATGAATGTGCAATACTTAAGACTAACTCTAAGCTCAAGTCAAGTATCTATCTAGAAGAAATATCTGATGGGGAAGTACGGTCTGAAGGGAGTGATAGTGTGTAAGTCAATGATGCTCATTACCTAGAGCAGTTAGAAATGCATCGCCAAGAGTACAGGGCTTGCAGAAGTGAGTATGAAAATGATATCAAGATGGCAAAGGAAGATCAAGCTCAGGTTAGTTGTTATTCCTTTGACTTTCAGCAGGTAGTAGAAATTCCAAGTATTCCTCAACAGCCATCAGAGTGGTACTATTGGTCACCTTTCAAGTTATATGTCTTAGGCATTGTGAATGAAGGCACTGAACAACATTATCATACAATGCATACAGAGGGACAGCAAGGAAAAGGGGCTAATCAAGTTGTATCACTATTGCATCTGTTTTTAACATCAATTCAGAATGAGAAGTCTAAGATACGGCTATGGGCGGATAACTGTGGAGGGCAAAACAAGAACAAAACCATGTTATGGTATCTTTGCTGGTTAGTTTTAAGCCATGATCTTGATGCTATTATACTTGGATTTCAAATTAAAGGTCATACACGTAATAGTGTTGACCGAGGATTTGGAACTGTAAAGCAAAAGGCCAATAGAACGGAGGTATGGATTCCTGAACATTATGCCTCGCTAGTTGACTCTGCAGATAAGGCTGGAAAGATTAAGGCAGTAAGACTGTGTAACGACCCTACGATATAGAGCTATGGTAACCTACGTCTACGCCCATACATAGGACCAAGAGGTCAGATGGTAGACAAGGCGGATATGCAGGCGCATATTCGAGAGATATCTGATGGTCCGGAAATCTCTAACAACAGAAGGTACTTAAGGAATGGGTGTACCTAAGTAGTGGTAATAACATGACAATGTCCGCTCTGGCCTATGGATAGGTCAGAAGGCCGGGTGAGTTTGCCCTACCTAAGGAAGTCACGTTACCCTACCATGGAGCCTGGCTTCGTGTCACCATGGACATACTTACCCTACCTTTGGGACACTATTACCCTACCTTCCATTGGAAATGTTCTTGGAGGAATTCCGGGAAATGTTAGGATTGTTTGTTACGCAATGACGATCAACAGG